CGCTTTTGAATATCAATATAATAATGCAGGGAAAAATATAACAATATACTGTCATATCGATATTTTCGATACATGGCTTTTGAATATCGATATAATATCGCTGCAAAAAATATCACAATATATTTTCTTCCATCCCTAGTCGTAACTTGATATAACTTTCGTTCTTTCACTTAACACTTACTCTCCATTGAGCAATACTTTCCTTTTTCGTTTCCTTTAAATGTAAGAAAAATTACTAATGCTTTGCTCAATTTCTCACCTAAAGGAGAAGTGGGCATACGTGCATGAACAACAGCAAATATGAACGCTTCATTTCTAAAGAAAAAAAATGTTGCAATATCTTACAGCCTACAAAAGGAGGTGGTAAAAGAGGAGCTGCAAAAGTCTAGTTTCCCTCAGATAATTAAAATGACTGTACACTGTGCATTACATCTTTGCTCCAAAATACACCAACATACTTTACAACCTATGTTTTATATGGATAATACACCCAACAGAGACTGGAATGAACGGCTTTGAAAGCATCAGAAAAGCATGTGAGTCGCAGAAACACGCTAACTGAGACAGTGGCAGCTCCAGAAATTTTTTTCTGCAGGTGCTATGAAGGAGCTAGTCTTTTTATTGAGGGTGCTATGAAGGAAGTGGTCATGCGTACCTATTGTTCTCTAAAACACCTTCAACACTAGCAGATACACATGCGTGCACAACACCTCAACAACACCTGAAACAATCATTAATATACATCACAAACATATGAACAATTGCTGACTTTTCCATGAAATCATGAACACATACAGCCACACAGAAAACTATCTATGGTGTTGCAAGGTTAGCTAACGTTAGTGTTAGCATTTCCAGCGGCAAAACCCTCGACTGCTGCGGTGGTTGAGGGTTGACTCTCTTCATCCAGATCCAAAGATTCATTCATTTCTGACTGAACCTGTGGAAATTTGGGCAACAAAAACCGATCCATTTTATCACTAGCTCTACCTTTCACTCGCTCGCAGGTGGAAAATGAGGTCAAAGGTTAACATAAATTTCCTGTTTTGGTTTAAGTTTTTACTATCTATATGATAAATTACCGGTCATTTTTGTTTTGTATGTTAAATATTATCACATCCACACGTTAAATTAAAATTAAATTGTATAAAAAAATCTAATATTTACTTGGGGGTGCTATGGGGGTGCAATGACTAATCCAGTGGTCGCTATAGCGCCCCCTAGCGTCCCCCTGGCGCCGCCACTGAACTGAGAGCAGCTTGTCTCACTGACCTTGTTTAAAGCTCATCGTAGCACATCTCACAACAATTACTCATGGCCCTCTTCGGAGAGAAACCTGAGCTAAAGTGTAGTTAAAGGTGGTTTTAGAGTAAACACTAGCACTAGTACAAGCTCTGCTGTCACACGCCCCTAATCCACCAGGCTCAGACCAGATCACCGTTCGGATCGAGTTTATTAACCTCTTTCCTGAGCTGAAGAAAACACACAGTGGAGTGTACTCAAACACTCAGAGCATGGCTCAATTTTTTTCAGAAGGAGCTAAAATAAATGTTGAGTAGGCTGGCAGCTTCATGAGTAGAGTACATCGGTGTTTCACTTCTGCGTGGGAGAGAGGGTAAGGAGACAAGAGAGTAGGGAGGAAAATTAAGTTTGGTGATAAAAGACCACTGAAGTGTGTACAAAAAATATGGCGGGTGTGTGTGTGTGTGTGTGTGTGTGTGTGTGTGTGTGTGTGTGTGTGTGTGTGTGTGTGTGTGTGTGCCCCACCTTTTGTGTGTAGCACAAGGTTAGGAAAGCTAAATGCTTCTGTGAGGGGATGAAGCACAGATAGTTCAAGAGCTGAAAAAGACCCTTCACATTCAGACTCCTTATGTAGGATGTAGACCAAGCAGACAAATCCACGTACACAAATCTACTGCACACACACGAACATCAGCGTACAAAAGTTTCATAAATAAAATCTATTAACTGGGCAGTGTTTCAGCCCAAGTTTCATTTAGCTCCATTTTTGTATAAGTTCTCTTCAGTTCAGTTTTCAACACAGATAATTAGTTCAGCAAAGAGCTTATTTTGGTTGAACTCCCTTTTTCCCTTCCAAAATTTCTAAAAGTTTGTTTCAAGTGTGTTTCCATGTAACACATATCAACATCTTGCCAAGTGTAACAGGACTGATGAGCTAATGGCTAGAATGAAACAGCCAAAAACACCCAACTTCATAAAAGTTAATCTCAATGGTATAAATGTGTTTACCAGTTTAACATAAATGGTAAATGGCCTGTATTTGATATAGCGCCTTCTAGAGTCCTGGAACCCCCCAAGGCGCTTTACAACACAATCAGTCATTCACCCATTCACACACACATTCACACACTGGTGGGGATGAGCTACAATAGCTACAGCTGCCCTGGGGCGCACTGACAGAGGCGAGGCTGCCGAGCACAGGCGCCACTGGTCCCTCCGACCACCACCAGCAGGCAACGTGGGTTAAGTGTCTTGCCCAAGGACACAACGACAGCGAAAGACTGAGCGAGGCTCGAACCTGCAACCTTCCGATTACGGGGCGAGCACTTAACTCCTGTGCCACCGTCGCCCCATACATACATACATACATACAAACATTACACGGTTATTTACATGAAACCCTTCAATTGTTTAGAAATGTAAATATCCTCAAAGTTTTGGTGCAACTAGGGATGAAGCGTGGGGATTTCTGCTCTAGAACCCCCAGGTTTCTCAACTCTGGTCCTGGAGGGCCAGTATCCAACTGCTTTTGTGGTTTTTCTGCTCAAACACACTTGATTCAGTGGTTGAATCATCTGTGCAGCAGCTCATCAGGCTCTGCAGAAGCCTGTTTATCACCTGCTGATTGAAATCATGTGTGTTGAAACTAACACCTGCTGGATACTGGCCCTCCAGGGCCAGGATTGGGCACCCCTTCAGATGAACCAAGACGTGGCTTGTCTGAATGATCTGGATCTCAAACCAACATAGTCAGCAGAATTATACTACTGTTAGTGTTAGCATTATTTTATAATCTGTAACTCCGTTTTGCATAACAAGGTTATTTCAGAAGTAAAAATTAAAAGTGGGGGGGTGGGGGATGACTCAGATACGCTTGTTTCAGGAACTAGCAGAATGCCACAGAGTTGAGCTAAACACGGCAGGATTTGGTCTTATTTTCTGATATTTGAACATCTCACCTCGGACTGGATAACAGCAACGTGACTCTGCTACGTACTATGTTTACTCTGTGACATGGATGTTTTATCTCCACAAAACTCAAGTCTGGAGGTGTTCTGCTGTGTGGTGAGGTTGCTAATGCTAACAGTTAGCTTCTACTAGCACGAGACGTTCTCTGCTGTTTTTCTGCATGCTAAACCAACAACAGCCGTCCTCCTTACAAGCCAAGATGGGTGAATCCATCAACGTGACGGTGTGAAGTAGATCTGTCAGGATTTGAAAATCCTAGATTTTCACCATCTATTTTTTATCAGAAGCTAATGCAGGAGGTTGGTGTAGGAGACCATTTTCATGTTCATCCTGTATGAAAAACTCTGACAGACTAATTATAATCAGAAATAATTATTCAAAACTGTTTTTTCAGTATCCCACACTCTAACAGAGGCTGTTCAGGTGGCTCGCTGCAACAAGCAATATAGTGTTTATTTTGTCTATTACACAAAAGCACACTTTTAAATTCCCAAAATGTCAACTTAAAGCAGCTTTCCGCAGTTTTCCCCTTCCAGACATTATGTATGATTTTTCAGAAATCTGTAAAAGTGATTATCTTATCATGTACGGTGATATAATGGAAGCAAAACGTCTTTTTTCTTTGCTAAGCACGCCCCCTGCCCCGCAGCACTTTGTGCAATAGAAAACGGAGCACCGACTAGAACTCACCAATGGCGTTAGAGTACCGCGTACGTGCTTCAAATTTAAGGAAGTACCTCAGCTGATGCCGAGTTGATGAACTTTTCACTGACAAGTAAGTCTCTAAAATATAAATATATGAGAACACAACATGACATGAGAATGATACTCGTAAAACAACGGGTTTTAGCTCTGTTTGTCGGCTACAGAAACACATTTATAAACATGAAACATGACGTCGCCATCTTAAAAAAACAGATTGAAAGACTTTTTGTGTGATATGCTCTTCAGCCACTAGATGGTGCCATCGGATGAGAGAAATGCTCCGGAAAGACACTTTCAGTAGTTTTGTGTTTATGTATAAAGCAAAAATATTCATGGGCTTTAATGTTTCTTTTGTTTTTGTAAACTCAGGGTAGTTTAAAAAATGAATGTTTTGGATATAATTCATCATCTTCATCTATGGGCTAACTGTAAAAGAAAAGGTGAAAAGCCCTTTTTTTCTCTCTCAAGCTAATTTTTATTGGCGAGTCTACCACTCTGTTTCCCTCCAACACTAAAACCACACCAGCAAGCCAAGCTCACAAACTCTCCCAGCTTCAGATTTGAGACTTTCTCTTCTCTTTTTACAACGAGACAAATAAATCCCCAAAAAGAGGAAATGGTAAAGAAGAGGAAGCAGAGAGGGCAGCTGATTGAGGCATCACAAACAAGAGAGAAAAAGGTGATAAGCTTACCGTGATGTTGAAGCTGACATGACAGCAGTGGGAGGAGTCAGTGGAAGCAGGAAGTGTCACAGGAAAGAGGAAATGGATTCAGAAATTTAAATGGGAAGTGAAGCAAGGCTGAAACACTTTGAGGCAAACAGAGACAGGAAAGCAGCTGGAGGAAAAATTATTCAAAGCAACTAATCATAATTATGAGTTTTCACATCTGCAAATATTTTCACGTCAGGTCTCTTTTATGTGTTTTGTTAATTTTTATATGTGAAACACTGCAGCCGATAGGTGTGTTTTTATGAATCTCTGAACATGTGACCCTAACATGAGTCACCCTAAAAGTGCAGCTGACCATTTAATCCATGTTTTCCAGGGTTATTTGGTGCTTTTTGCGTGGTTGTAGTTAAGTACCTCGGCTCTGGGTGAAGAGAAGATGTCCTTCTTCTGTGTTATGACTGTTTTCCTAGAAAACAAAAACAAAATGCTATGTAAACATTATCTGCAGATGTGACTTGGGCATTTTTCAGCCATTTTTAGTCTTCAAAGAATGAAACAAATGATCAGCTCACTGCTGGATGTGGCTTGACGAAATCTGACTGTGCTACTTTGAATTTAAACTCTCTGTAGCCAACATCAATGTTTAAAGTCTAACAAAAACAGTTTTATACTTCTCTTTCTGGACCAAAACTCTTTTTGGATGCAAGTATGAGTACTTACACTTTTAACATGCTGTGCAACCTTATTTGTTTAACGGGGAACTAGGTCGTTTTGGCTTGCTTTTAGCACCTCTTGGTGTCCCCTTGTAGAACCAAAACCTATGTCTTCGCTGTACGTTTGTCTTTTTAACATCTTAATCTAACAGCTGGAACATCTCCCAGCCTTCCTTAGTGTCTAGAGAAGTGATTCATCACTAAATGAAGCTGTTTTCATGATCTAAAACCTGCAGGAAACGTGCTGGAAGCAGACTACAGTGCCAGGTATGTCAGCTCAATTTTTACTAAATCCCAACAGAGCGGCCCGCTACTCTGAAGTTGCAAGTGGAATATTCTGGCCACAGGGGGCGATGGGGCTGGATGGCCATTTGTTAACCCTGTAAAGGGTCATTTTAGCACAAACTAGCTCAAGAGTTTTCCCACTTCTCCCCCTTCTGGTTGAAAGTTGAATTACAACAGTTGTAAATAACCCTGCCACAGGCTTTGCAGATAAAGATGTCATGAGACAATGTGTTGTATTTTGCATGGTTTTGTTTAATAAAAAATAATTAGGACTTTGACACTTTTTATATGGTTTGAAACTGAAACTGAGGCCTAGTCCACACGTAGCAGGGTTTTTTAAAAACGGATATCCGCCCCTCCAAAAACTTGCATCCACACCACCTCGTTTTAAAAAAAAACTGTCCACACGTACCCGGATAAATACGTTGTTAAGGACATGCCAGACCTGTAGGCGGCAGTACTTTCCCCGTTCTTAACCTTGTCTTCGTCTGTGGTCTTCCGCAAGGAGCAGTAATTCCGCTTGCAAAAACAAACAAGCAAAAAGCGCTTGGACAATTGATAAAGCGAGCGCAGGTCTGAGGGCATCCATGCTGTCGGCTAGTGTAAACACAGGTCGCACACGTGATGTCAGCATTTTTTTGTCGCGGAAAGTGACGTTGCGGACCTTAAAACTCCAGGTTTTGTCTGTCCACACGCAGACACCCAAAACGGAGAAAACGCAGATCTTCACTTTGGCCGGAGTTTCTAAAAAGATCTGTTTTCATGTGAAAAAACAGTTTTTGTGTGGATGACAGGCCAAAACGTAGAAAAATATCTACGTTTTGGCAGATCCCCGGCTACGTGTGGACAGGGCCTGAGTGTCAGCTTCACCAGTGTTCACTCTGGTTTTAGCTCTTGGCTGGCTATGCCACCTTTTCTTTTCTTTCCTCCAAAGACATCCCTCTCTTCATTTCACGTCCAGATGCCATCATGATGCCAAGAAAAAAACTTCTTCTGGTGCTAACCAAAACAAGCTACCTGCTAGCCTCTACATGAGCTAGTGGCACAGTGAAGCTGAAACGCAAATTAGAACTAAATACTAACGGTATTTTCTGAGTACAATAAAAAAAGATGAGCTGATGAAAAAAACTGGGGAAGTAGTCAACCTTTGCATAATTTCCTTTTGAGAGGTCCTCCACCTTTTACCACATCTCCTGTAGCCTCCTGTAACCTGACCACATGAGAATGAGACAATCAGAAAGCTGAAGAACCGTTATGAACGAGGAAGTAGAATTGAAAAGGGTAATGAGTCTCCACAAATTTACCTGGCCTCGTTTCATTTGTCTATCGTTTAATAAGCTTTTCTTAGTCATGAACTGATGAAGAAATATGAGGATGCAGCCAAATCTGGGATGCCATCATTCAGGGAAGAGTTGTGTTGTTTTGACAAATATAAGATATCTTGGACCTCAGAATCACCTGGCTGTTTTCTATTTCTGCTCATGGGACATAAAAAGCATCACGAAAAGCCACAGCATAAGGCACACATCATCAAAATTGTGCAAATCATCGTCGTCGTCGTCTTCCTCCGCTTATCCGGGTCCGGGTCGCAGGGGCAGCACCCCAACTAGGGAGCTCCAGACCGTCCTCTCCCCGACCACCTCCACCAGCTCCTCCGGCAGGACCCCAAGGTGTTCCCGGACCAGATTGGAGATGTAACCTCTCCAACGTGTCCTGGGTCGACCCGGGGACCTCCTGCCGGCAGGACATGCCCGAAACACCTCCCCAGGGAGGCATCCAGGAGGCATCCTGACCAGATGCCCAAACCACCTCAACTGACACCTTTCAATCCGGAGGAGCAGCGGTTCTACTCCGAGTCCCTCCCGAATGTCCGAGCTCCTCACCCTATCTCTAAGGCTGAGCCCGGCCATCCTACGGAGGAAACTCATTTTGGCCGCTTGTATCCGCGATCTCGTTCTTTCGGTCATTACCCAAAGCTCATGACCATAGGTGAGGATTGGGACGTAGATCGACCGGTAAATCGAGAGCCTGGCTTTCTGGCTCAGCTCCCTCTTCACCACGACAGATCGGCTCAGCGTCCGCATCACTGCAAATGCTGAACCAATCCACCTGTCGATCTCCCGATCCCTCCTACCCTCACTCGTGAACAAGACCGTGAGATACTTAAACTCCTCCACTTGAGGTAGGACCTCTCTCCCGACCCGGAGTTGGCAAGCCACCCTTTTCCGGTCGAGAACCATGGTCTCAGATTTGGAATTGTGCAAATCTAATACAGAACCTGGTATTTGCTGTAATTAATGACAAATTCAGACAAGACTGAAGATACTTGCTTCATGACCGGAGTTATTCCCATCATACAAACACAACTCATTAATCAGCTGTTGGGACATCAGTAGATTAAAGTAGCTTTCTGGAGTATTTCTCTTATCCGATGGCACCATCTAGTGGCTGAATAGCATATCACACAAACAGTCTCTCGATGTTTTTTAAGATGGCGGCTTCACATTTCTTGTTTATAAATGTGCTTCTGTAGCCAACAAACAGCTAAAAGACGTTGTTTTACAAGTAACATTTTCATGTCATGTGTTTTCATATATTTATATTTTAGAGACTTACTTATCTGTGAAAAAGTTTATCAACTCTGCATCATCCAGGTACTTCCTTAAATTTGAAGCATCTAAGCCAGGGGTGCCAAACTAATTTTAGTTCAGGGGCCACATTGAGGGAAATTTTGTCCCAAGTGGGCCGGATCGGTAAATAAAAAAAAACTTAAGATTGTTTTCTTTGTTTTAATTCAATCAATATAAAACGAGGCTGGAGCCTGAGGTACAACACCTGAAGTGTACTTGAAAATTTGAAAAAAAAAAAAAAATCAACTAATTAAAATAAACATTCCTTAGTGATTCAAAGAGCTTACAGATCACATGGCTAGATCAGTTTCATGCAGCACTTAAAGTATATTTGACTCATTTTACTTTACATCTTTTAGCTTTCACCAGCACATCAACATCAGAAGTCACATCCTGAGTGGCGGCTAACTTCAGGATGGGATTCAAGTTCTTGTGTGAGCCTTGAGCGCAGCTTTGGTTTATTTATACTCATTACAGAGAAAACTTGCTCACAATGATACGTTTATTTTCACTCTACATTGTAAAGTATGAAAATAAAGTTTACACAACCATCTCGCGGGCCGGATTTAACCCATTTGCGGGCCGGATTCGGCCCGCGGGACGCATGTTTGACACCCCTGATCTAAGCGGTAGTCTAACACTATTGGTTAGTTTTGGTCGGCGCTTAATTTCCTATTGTACGGAGCTCTGCGGGGCGGGGGCTGTGCTTAGCAAAACAAAAAAAAGGCATGTTGCTTCCATTATATCACCGTACATGATTAGATAATCACTTTTACAGATTTCTGAAAAATCATACATCATTTCTGAAAGGGGAAAACTCCAGAAAGCTACTTTAACTGAAACTTTTTAAATGTGTGCTGTTTGCCGTGGTGGATTTGTAGCCTGACCTTTCTTGTTCAGCTGACATCTTCGTAGTACAACTAGAGTTTATGTTTTTCATCAGCTTCATGGGAATTTCTAAAGAGTTAATTTCGTGTAATTTCTCCTCTCTTTTACATTATTTAGCGTTAGCTGTGGGGCTTACACTTTGCGGGTTTGTGGACGGAGACGTCTGAGGGCTCGTGGTTCGTGCTGACTGTCCTGTTCTGTCTGGTAAAAAAACATCCTGAGAGTCTCATCCAGTAATATCCATGTTGGTAACCCCAGCAACCTCTAAAAGAAAGAGAGAGGATGAAGCAGAGGTACAGACATGAGTACCTACAACAAGTTTCAGTTAAAAAACATAACGGGCAAGAGATGACAGTAACATTTAGAGGGGTGAATTTTCTGTAGGAGTGATGGATGAGGGGAAGGAGAAACCAGGTAGTGGAGGAGGCAAGGTAAAGAGGTGGAAGGACAAGAAAAGACGAGATGAAGGGTTGCAAGTGTAAAGTTAAGCAAAGGCGATAGAGTGCAAGGAGAGAGAGTCATGTAGGTTGTAGGGAGGGAAAAAAAACAGAGTAATGCAGAAAAGAGAAGTGAGTGAGTGGGAGAAAGAGAACCTGATCGTGTTTTTAGTGATGGAGCAACAGAGGAACATGTCAAAAGTCCCACAACTGAAGTCAGTCAGACGTGATGTGGGCACAGGGCAGAGCAAAGAGAAGAGAGCAGCAACACCTACGTGTTGAGCTCCATCTCCAAACTATACTGCTGAAATAACCGAGTCCACCTACAGCACCGCTCAGCCCACTAGGATGTAGGCTACTGCAACGCACGCTGCAGAAAGCTGCAAACATGCCAACAAGCCTTCCCCTTTTGCTAAAAACAACATTTTGCATGAAAGAAGTGATTACCTTAATGTAGGTGTTGAGTTCAGGGATTCTGCTCTCCGCTATCTCCCTCTTGTTTCCAATGTAGATCTTTCCTGTTTTCACAATAAAAGATTAAAAATGGGTTTATTGATGAAATACAAATACAAATGTGCATCTGTAAACTGTCATTTGTCAACAGGAGTTTACCTTGACTGTGTTGGTTAGGTTTACAGTTTCCTCAGATTTGACTCAGTTTAGAGCCAAGAATGAGTTCGAAGGAAAATCAATAAATAATAAAAGTTGAAAATGTATGGTTATAAGTTTTGATGATACGATTATTTGATTTAATTCGAAATCTAATAAGGTTAAATATTTTAGAGTCTCAAGGCTAACTGCTGTTTGCACCAAATGTGGCGTTTTGTTTCCTTTTCCCTCCTTCCTGGGACCAACCTGCCTTGGGACATGTACTTGGAAATGGCCCGGTAGAGTCATTAGGCTAGACTTATGGTAAACGCATGCTGATTGGTTGTAACTGAAATTATATCAGCAGATGACACCAAACATCCGACGGTTGTACAGTTGGAAAAGTTGCCGGTGAAGCAGAATGGAAGAGAGGAATTTAAGGAGCGTTTGCGCTGCTTTGAAATCACCGTTTCAAAAAAACCCAACTGAGCTACAACCAATCATGAGTCATTTCCCTAGTGCATACACGCAGGTACTCGGTTGGTCCCTCAGCGACTGTCGGCCACTGATTGGCTAGGAGGTGGAGTCGCTGGTTGTTCCAGAGTTTTCTGGCTGCAGCCACTTCCTGGTTCAGTCTGGCCCAATCCCAGTACTCACATTGTGGTCTTTGGCGACGGTGGCACAGGAGTTAAGTGCTCGCCCCGTAATCGGAAGGTTGCAGGTTCGAGCCCCGCTCAGTCTGTCGCTGTGTCCTTGGGCAAGACACTTAACCCACGTTGCCTGCTGGTGGTGGTTGGAGGGACCGGTGGTGCCAGTGCTCGGCAGCCTCGCCTCTGTCAGTGCGCCCCAGGGCAGCTGTGGCTACGTTGTAGCTCATCCCCACCAGGGTGTGAATGTGTGTGTGAATGGGTGAATGACTGATTGTGTTGTAAAGCGCCTTGGGGGGTTCCAGGACTCTAGAAGGCGCCATATCAAATACAGGCAATTTACCATTTGGCAAAGTGCACTTGGAGAAATTGGCTTTGAGTGTGAAAATTGCTTAACTGAGACAGGGAGCATTGCGTAATTGATCATGATAATAATTAATAAATTTCCAACAAACAACCAATTATTTGAAATGAATTTACATTCATTGCTGCTTTGTCTAAAAGTTTCAGAACATCAACTAATCGTCCTAAAATGATCGACTTGACTCCAATTGAAAAGGCACTTGGACCTTTTCTCCTGCAGCAATGGATTGTGGGTAATACCCTTCACCCAAATCCACATCAATGCAGACTTTAGTGAAGTGTGGATCAAGGGTGCAAAAGGGAGGTTTTGCAACTTCCGAACTTGAGAATCGGGACACCCTACTCGCACCCCTGGTCGGGATAAGTGCACAAGGGTGGGAGTGCGAGGATGAGCCAGACTGAGCAGAATGTTCAACACCACGGCCATCTTTGTGCTGTGTTGTGTTTCTGTGTAGCAAACAGATCACCTCACACTATTTTTGTCTCGAATAAACATCACACACACAAAATTACCCGAAAGTTCCAATATTAGAAAAGTGCCTTTTATGGTGTCTTTTTCTTTCTAAAATGATAAGAAGAGTCTAACCAGGAAAGAGAAGTAAACTGCACTTATCAAGAAACATTTTGGTCCTGATTCCGACCCTAACACTTACTGTAGCTACGAAAAGAAAAATACACCACATGGGGTTATACATTGCTACTCATTCATTTTATCCCCAAATTACCCTGAAAAAAGGAAACAAATGTGCACGTATCATCCTTCATGCCTGATATAAAACGAAGTTCAGTCAAAGATTATGAGGAAGACCAAATACTGCTAAGCCTGAATCTGGCAGCAGCCATTCATTCATGCCCATTAAACACTGGTGTTCAATCATATGTGGTCCTAATGACCCTCTGTTCACTCTGTGGCCTTCAGCTTATTCTCATTGAAGCCTGATAACTCACTCAGTCACACATATCCACTCATTCACTATTGATGAAACTTTTTTTTCACTCGTCTGCCTCCCCTCATGGCCTTAAGTACCTTTTGAATTTATTGTAATATTGATCATGAAGTTTCCCACTGAGCAGTAAAGGAAGGAAGAAACTAACACCAGCCCTGAAACTGAAATGCCACATTTAATCAGAACTGCTTCAACTGAACCAGAAAGAACCTTTCCCGTGATTCTTTTTTTGGGTTTTTTTTTTTTTTGCCAGTGTGTCATCGCCCGTCCCTCCCCCGCCTCCCTCCATTCTCCCCCACGTCGTTCTTGTTCCCTTTTCATCCCAATGAGATCTGGCTCTCCAATTAATCCAACAGACTCCACAGTGGCAGATGCTATATCGGAGTTTGTGGAAAAGTAGAACTTTCCCAAAAATAGCAAAAGACATCGCCGTAGGGTCGTTGAGGAACGTATCACAGTCTTCACAATAAAAGCTTCGTTTTTTCCCCACTAAATTCTTTCAAAGAACCCAATAAAGATGGTATTTAAAATGTAGGTTTTTGAGGATAGATCACAATAAAGCACAAAAGTAAGGTCACAGAAAGAAATATGTTTTACTAATAAACCAAAATCAAGCCATAAAGCATTCTGACCACCTTCCTATTCTGGGGGGAAAATGTAATTTGTGCCTAAATTCATTTCATGATGCTAAATTTTAGAGTTAATAGAAAACAATTAATTCTTTTGTTACAAATATTTTAGAGCCACTAGAAATCACGATAATATAACGGTAAATTGCCTGTATTTGTATAACGCCGTCTTTCGGTTCTACAATCCCCCGAGGCGCTTTACAATGCAATCAGTCATTCACACGCCGGTGGGGATGAGCTACGATGTAGCCACAGCTGCCCTGGGATGCACTGACAGGGGCGAGGCCTGCCGAACCCCGGCCCCACCGGTCCCTCCAACCACTACCAGCAGGCAAGTTGGGTTAAGTGTCTTGCCCAAGGACACGACAGCAGCATTCTCTGGTCAAAGCCTTCCAATTACTGAACAACCCGCTCTACCTCTTGAGCTACTGCTGTCCCATATAATAAATCCAACTTGCTTTATAGAACCTTCTAATAAATGCATTAATCTCTCTAGTAGGGCTGGGCGATATGGCCTAAAATCAATATCACGATATATTGAAGATTTCACCTCAATAACGATAAATGGACGATAACTACAGGTATGCGTGGTTATCCACTAGTTGTCCACTAGATGGGGCTGTCACGTGTATTGCGCTGAGTCACATTTTTATGTGACTCAAGGTGGTACAGCTTCTTAAAGAGCAAGTAACTAAATTAACTTATTTTTGCTGATAACCTGTATAGATGAGTGTCCAATGGTGCTGTACACATGTAATCATTAGTGTGGCAGTTTAGTGCAACTTACTTTAAATTTAATATTTCAGCCCAAAACCATAATTATAGCTCCATCTTCAGGTTAAATCTCCGCTCCACATTTATGTCGAACCAGCTGTGGCTGGTGGCTAAACTGGGAAACGTGACGTTGTCAGCAGATTACTATGTGGCTGCACAGCGCAGGTCTCCAGGTGAGGCAGCCACACCTCCACCTGGCTCAGCCACTCACCTGCTAATATGACACGTTGGCGCTCTGAGCCATTCGCCTCCTTGAAAAAAAAAAACGCCCTCCTCCCCTTTTCATCTAATGATCGCGTTTAACAGGAAATCCTCCAGAATGCTGCAGAATCTGTGTCTACCTTGCTCCCGAGCGGCACGTCTTGTCTGAGAAGTTATGTCCTTAATTCTATATTTTGCTTCAGTGGGTGTCTGTAATTCCCCTGAAGCATTTATCGGTTCCTCATTTTATCTGATCTTCCTGGGTCATTCCCTCTCTGTCAGACTCTGCACCGTAAAGCCCTTAGAGCAGGGGTGCGCACACTTTTCAAGTTGAGGGCAAAAATCGTTAAAGGTCCTCCCAGACCACAAAAATGTAATTTTCTTTATTTGTTTATTTATTTATTTTATTTTTTACAAAATCTAATTATTTTTACTTCTTATAATAGGTTCAGACTAGACACATAAATAAAAGTCTGAACATAGATATGATAGAAAATGTCTACCAACAGCCTGTTGCAGAGGCAAAATTAATCATACCAGGAATTCAAGTGGGTGCTGCAATAACTCACCATGAAGAGACCTTGGGCTGCACTTTACGCACATCTGCCAGAGGGACTAAAACACATGGTTCTAATGCTGAATTTAAAAAATTCACTTATTTCATCCATCCTATTTCCTCCGCTCATCCGGGTTGGGATCGTGGGGCCAGCAGCCTAAGGCCCAGACTTCCCATTGGGCCGGCTTCTCCAGAGATACCCCATGGCGTTCTCTGGCCAGCAGAGAAACACAGTCCCTCCAGAGTGTTTTGGGTCTTCCATCAGACGTCCTCTTGGCTGGACATACCGGAACACTTCACCATGGGGATGTCCGGGACGAATCCTAACCAGATGCCACCTCAACTGGCTCCACTAGATGTAGAGGAGCAGCAGGTCTACTCCAAGCCCCTCCCAGATGACCGAGCTTCTCACCTTCTCTAAGGGAGAGCTCAGACACCCTGCAGAGAAAACTCTTTTTGTCCACTTGTATCTGTGATCTCATTCTTTCGGTCACTACACAAAGCTCGAGATGAGGGCCCAGCTCTCTCTTCACCACGACAGATCGGTACAACGCCCGCATCACGGCAGATGGATCCCCAATCCGCCTGGCGATCTCGCGCTCCATCTTTCCCTCACTTGTGAACAAGACTCCAAGATACTTAAACGCCTCTACTTGTGGCAGGGCCTCTTGGAAACTTGGAGAAGGCATTCTACCCTTTCCCAGCTGTGATGCGTTCCTAAAACACATTTCTTTGACGATAGCAACTTTCACAAGACTTTATGGTATTTAAGCATAAAGGTAAACTCTAATTAATGTAAGAAAATGCAGCAATAGGCATCTAACATGTACCAACACTGGACTCCAGTGAAGATCAGGAGCAGTAGATGCAGATGTTTTCAAAACCATTTTCAGCTCTTCCTGCTGCAGAGAGGAAGTCCAGCCAGCTGTCGCCACTAACCCAGTCTGTTCCGCTCCACATTTGAAGGTGAAACAGATGAAATCACCACAGAGGCTGAGAAAGAGCCCCGCATTTGTAAATCTAAATAAAGATAAATGTTTCTAATAAATATTACAAGTGAATTTGGTTGTTGGACGGCATGCTAGCATATGGATGCGGCTAACAGACCTTGTTATTAGCGACAGTTTACAATTTACACTTGTTCAAACATCACCGACATTGAGCACAAATATTTTCTCAAATATATATTTTCACATTCTGACTGTAAATTTGAGCGAACCGTCTCTGGCTTCCAGCTTCACATGGGTGATTAGCATACGTACGAGAGAGCAGGTGGCCTCATTACCATCTCATTACATATGTGCATGACGATATTTGAAGAAACTTCTTGTAAACCTTATTATAAAGTTTCTGTTAGTGAATTATCTATTTTTTTTTTTGCTTATTTTTTTTAATTATTGCTTGAAAGAATGTGATTTACAACGTTTAATCTCCACAATTTAAACAAAAATAAATGAAGAAAAATCCCTGAGAAATACAAGGTGAATACACTTTTAATTAAATATAAAATGTTCAGTTTTTCAAATGTTCTACAGTTCTTTGACTTTTATGGCTCAAATTGTAAAATCTGTATTTAGACAACAGCCTTTTGTGGACTTTTATTGCTAAGAAGACTGTGTCTTCCTTCTCCTTGTGAGATCTGAGTCAGAGATTTCTCGCAACAATCTGTCTTCACAAGATTAAAAACCTCAGTACAGGAATTTTTGTCTCAGCTCTCTGACAGACACAAATTTTAAAAATGTGATGTCAGACACTGATGTTTATCGGTGCCACGATCACACTGACCTGGGAGAGGAGGCAGGATGCAGGTGTTGGGACTGCTTCTATCAGGGTCTTCGGGGGAGTATTTGCTCTCCAAGATTTGGTGAAGGTTGAAAAACTCTCTGTACCTCCTGTAGATCAGATACTTGCCCCCTCCTTTAGTCTTCACTTCAACCACAAACCTCTGGGAGAGAAATAAAAGCCATGAATAAACTCAAACTCTTAAAACGCTGCAGAAATTTCCCAGAAAAGCTACATGTTCTAAATAAGAGACACAAATGTGTGTACTGTTGCACTGAGAGGTCCAACAGCTCAAGACTTACATAGTAGTCTATGAAGCCTTTCTTCTCTTCAATATCAGCAATGGTGGCACTGACAGGGATGTTATGTGGAAGCTGGTCAAAGTCACTAAGAATTAAAAAATCAAGTGAGACTCGCAGATTTAGGGCATGTGAGAAATGTCTCAGATTTTAACTACAACCCATGCTATTGCTGAAGCCCCAAAATGTATGCAGATATTGCCTTAAAAGAATAATCTATAGTTTAATTGTTAGGATTGTGTGTAATAAATGAGTGGATGACGCTGATTTAACTCACCTTTCGTCTCGTATCTGCTGCGGCAGCGACATTTTTACGCACAGCGTCGGCTCCAGACGCACCAGGAAATCTGATGAATTTGCCACGAGCAAATGTGCGGTTTTTGTTAGTTCTCTAAGAGAGATGCTGGTGGTGATCAAATCACCAACACGTCTCAGAATGCACTTGTTTGGAAAGTCTTTAGAGGCACAACAGCGCGGAAACAAGCAGGAAGTGAGAGCTCCGCGGCGTGCTCACGCCAGCGGTGCGTTCGGCCGCGCGGATGTTCCGCCTGTTGCTTCAGAGGGCGTGGAAATGTGGCCTACGGAAGCTGTGTTTTCTATCTGCTTTAAACAATTTGATCAACATCAAATAAAGTCAAAATGTCCCAACAATCGACTGTGTTCAGGGTTTAATCTAGAATGTTTTTATTTTATGTTTTTACTTAATTTTTTATCACTCTGGTTTTCCTCTCATCCAAGTTCGAGCGCAGTGACGTTAAAAAAGTTCAAAGATTTTTTTTGACACATATCTTTAACCTACTTAGATTGTTGGATTTTATCCACAGATGGTTTTGACAATAAGGAGTTTACAATATGACAAATATGTGTTATTTAAAGACATTACAGCTTTTAAAGGTGCATTATGTTAGCCTGGCAAGCCATTCTATAAATGTGGATATATCAGGGCTCCCAATTCTCACGCATTGAGCGTGAGACACACGCAAACCATCTTCGCACCTCAGTTTCATTCAATCTCACTAACAACCTGCCGCCAAACAGAGTGCTGTGATTAGACCGTCATCAGACAGTCTGGGGCTGTGGAGGTTCCATTGGAGCGTGGCTTGACCGACATGCAGAACAAAATCATTTTGTTTTGGCAATTCACTGAACCTCAACTAGTGGCCCGCGGGCCACGTCCGGCCCGCCAGACCTTTTCAGCCAGCCTCCCAGCCCTTTGGGACACACCATCCCCCAAAAGAGGGACTTTGAATTTAGCAGCAAAATGTATTCCCCTAGTATCAATAATTGTCTAAATTCCTCAAACACGACTAAAACTACATTCAAACTGTTTGGATGGACAGCAAAACCATTTAAATATTAATAAATTAAAATATAATAATACTTGAACTTTATTTTAGAAGCGCATCTAGCCCTCACGGTATCTGCTGGAAAATACTCCGACCCTTGAGCTAATTTAGTTGAGAACCCCGGTTTAGGTTTGAGGCTAGCACAGGGGTCGGCAACCTGTTCCCATCAAAGAGCCATTATTACCCGTTTCCCACAGTAAAGAAAACACTGGGAGCCACAGCAGCCGCGGCGTTGTGGGCGGGGCCTACCCTCAGACAGCAAAGAGCTGCTTTAACCAATCACAACAAGTGACAGCAGCCAGTACTGGTCGCTCGTGTACATCAAAATTATCTTTCATAAGACGATAATCAATAAAACGATTTATATAAAGTGGATCCAGAAGTTGTAGCCCGTCTCTGCCTACAATATTTTGATATTTTTCACCCTGGTGGTGGTTTTACTGAGCAGGTGCCACTTTTGTCATACATTTCTTTTTAAAACATGTTTAGACTGTTCAGAATACAAATCCAGGCTCTGTCACGTTTGATTGTTGTAATTAAACTTTGTAGGTGGGGAAGGTCAGAAAAGGATCCGATCAATTTGTTTTCCCCTCGTTTACAGTGACGGAGATAACGGCGCAGTGTGCCTGGCTCTGGTGTTAATCAAGTTAAATTATATCTCTTTGCAACAATTTTCACAAGAAAACAGAACAGTTAAAAGCAGGGCTTGTGTTGTGTTGACCGGATAGTTCCCGTATTTGACCGTTTATTTTGACGGAGAAAGAATAGAAAGAATTACCCCGACGCATGCAGACGAACTGACATTTTATTCTACGCACATCGCAGATGTAGCTAAATCACTCAAGAAAATATTCCCATCTGAACATCTGAGCTGGACACTGCTCAGCGCAGCTCACTGTCAGCGCGTACGTAAGGTCCACAGCGAGCTAAAGATGTGGAGAGGGGCTTGGAGCACATCGCAGAACCAGAGCGCATGCAGGAAGGTTCCTCCGACTGAAGCGAGACTTGTCACTTAGAAAATGTTCCCTGATTATCAAACTTTGGCTGAATAGTGCTTGTTCCTGTCTCCAATGTGGCGACACATCCAGGAGTCATCTGAGGAGAATCCCAGAATCTCACATCCTCTTCAGCTCAGAATGCGCCTATGATTACGCACAAGCGTGACCCGTCAACCCGGTCTCACAGTAAGACCGGGTTGGACCTGTTCAGGTTTACCCAGACAATCTTTACATTTAGAATTGGCATACAGACGTAAAATTAATGCAGTAAAATACAAAGCATTTTATTTAAATATCCATTCATTATTTTACAAGCACAGAGAGCCGCATCAGATGGATGGAAGAGCCGCATGCAGCTCCAGAGCCGCGGGTTGCCGACCCCCGGGCTAGCATAATGTAGTAAGAATGACACCAGTCACTTTCTCTCTAAGTTTCATGGCTGTTGCTGCAGCTACGGCTCAGCACCTGAAGATTATATGATGAGTGAAGATGAGTCATACACAGGCAGTTAAGCAGATAAATACATTTCACTGTCATATCGAGCTATTGGTAAAAATGGCTGAAAAAGCCATTTCAGACATTGGAACCGACTATTTGTTTCTAATTTACTGCTAGCATTGTTAGCTCAATGTTAACATGCAGCCTGCTTCACCCAATATTAGAGTAAAACAAAAATATGTTGTGGCTTCTTAAGGTACATGAAACAACCCCTGGGTCGCTCCTGCAGTGTTAGCTGGCACAGACTCGGCAAGCCTGTAGGCTCAGACTGTAAACAAAGACTACGCCCTTCTTTGGCCAGTCTGAAAGAAGAAAACCTGACGACCACCAATTCATTTGATTTGTGATTTCTTTTTCTGTGAAATTGTTGTTGTGTGCTGTTACTAATTTCCTTGGAGTGTCGCCGTTTAGTTATTTCGTCTGAAGCAAAATGCAATTTTAGGAGCCTAGGGTTATGATCTAAATGAACATAATTGTGGAAAAAATCTGTTCACACTTTAAATCTGGATTCATGTGCTTCTAACACCAGATGTCAGTAAAGTTGTACTTGTGCTGGGTTTGAATTTGCAACCAGGATTCATTACCTGATCTAAAATAGCTTCTCTAGATTGTTCTCATCACAGACCATGGTCTAGTCAAATATGTGCACTTTTAACGTAATAGAAACATAACTGTTGCCTGTTGCACAAACTATAAACCTGCTCCGCTGTGACCCGTCACCAAAGAGCCTCATAACTCCCAAAAGATCGTTTTTACCCTCCTAAACTTTATGCCTGCTTGCCTGATTTATTATTTTGCAGAGTTTAAAGTCAGTGCATTCATGCATGAGAGCTTTGTTGGAACATTAGTCAACCACACAAAGAAAAAAACAGGAGAAAGAAAGTTAGAGAACAAAAACGAACACACACACACACACACAGACGTAACTATTTGCTTGAGCATTAGTGAGCATCAAGAAAAGATGGAAACAAAAAGTGCATTCAACTGCAGCAGTCCATAGACAAATGTGTGTGTGTGACTGCACCACATATTGACTCCAGATCTATTTTCAAATAGCCTGAGATGGATGCTTTGAAACGCTGCTCGTATAACAGACCATCGCCAGCCATGAATTGCAGAAACATTTTTTAAGGGTGTATTTATTTTCAAGGTCAAGCCAGCTGTTTAAGTCTGTTGTGCTTGAGCAAATGTGTGTGTGAAAGAATATGTGGGTTATGGGTGTGAGCATACAAAAGTAGGTGGTTGTGTAGTAATTCTGTACATGTGTGCGTTTTATTGTAATGTTTTGTTCGCCACCTGCACAATCATTGATATACAAGTCTAAACCAGACAGAGGAGCGCTGTTATACATTTGCTGGTGAAATATAATAAGTCATTGAATTGACACACACATGCAGACAGGAATAGAAGATGCGAGAATGACAGTTTGTGTTTACCATGTTGACAGCTGGTTGCCATGGGAGACATGTAAGAGGAGCAGTGGTTATCTAAACATTTATTCTTTATGTTGTGTAGGCAGAACAATTATTAAAGGGGACATATTATGACTTTTTAAAGTTGTAATAGTTATGTGGTCGACACAACACCCTAACGCTAACAATATTTACATTTTTAGTGTAGATTTCCAGAATGAGCCGTTTCAGGGTTCTGTCTCTTTAAAAAAAACAAGCTGGAGCTGGCCAGGGCCACCCATCCCCTATTCAGGCTGCTATAAGCTGAGAAGCTCCAATATTTGGGAGGGGCTTCAGTGGAGCCACTGCTCCTCCAGCAGGTCTTTGTTGCACTGAGAGGTGGCTCTATGCTAATTTCCTCATTTGTGACATCCCAAACAGGGATGAAAGCTTTTTTTCATGTTTGAGAGCGTTTACAGAAGCAGAAGAGACCTATAGCAACACAAAATGATGCAAATGATAAGTATTGCATAATATGTTCCCTTTAAAACTTTAAACTTTTTTAAAAATTGGAAATATTTAGTAATAAATGAATCCCACTGGAGCAGAAACGAATGAAATCTTTAGCTCTTTACTGTCAATTTTTTTGTTCATTTGTTTTTTTGCTTTTGGGTGAGAGGTTTGTTGCATTTGTGAGACATCAGACAGTCCACACAATCAAACGGTGATGGATTACGATCTAGAAAGGAAGGGAGAAGAGCAAAACTCAAGAAGTTTTTTTGTTGAAAAGTAAAAAAATACACAACAGTTTTTTTTATTTTTTATTTTGAGGGAACAAAAATCTGTTCCCTGTTGTGATTTAGTCACTTAAGACGGTAAGTTGAATGTATTTTGATAAAAAGGAACAAAATGAAACAAGTAGCCACAGCTAATTTTTAAACCGTTACCCAGAATTTCCAAAATGCAGGAAAAGTAGAGAAAATTCTAAATTTTTAATAAAGATTTAATTGTGAACGTAACTTTTTGAAGAACTAGAAATCCTGCGCCTAATCCTTCAACATTTCTGTGTTCTTTGATTTCATCTAGCTTTTAAACATAAAACCAACCTTTTCTTTTGATCTATTACTTTTGGGGAAATGTCCACCTCTAATGAAGGAGACGTACCTGTGTGTCGTAACTGTGAGGCGCTGGAGTGAATCAGGCCAAACTGAATTGCCCAAGTGTGTAACACACAAAAGGAATTGGATTCCAGCTGTTGGTAACTCTGAAGAACAATTGTTTTTGGCTGGCATTGTGCAAATATATACAGGCAGTAAACTAGGTTAACTTCTCAGGTGATTATTGCAAAGTTCAGGTATCAAGATTATAATTCAGTCCATTGCTGTGTCATAAAAGAGGCCAG